CCTTGACTTTGGGTAAGTTACGGGGTTCCTCTGGGCAGTCGAGGGGTCCGGAATGCCTGTCTGTTCTGTGGGCTCACGGCGGGGCCTGTGTGAGCTGATGTATGCAGGGTGCTGGGTGTGCAGTAGCCCAGACCGATGTTTATTGCTTCTCTGTGACTCCTCGTCAGTCCAAGCTAGCGAGTTCCAGGGCCCATCCACTCTGCTGGGGCCCATCCGCACTGCTGGGGCCCAGCTCCATCTTCAGGGAGAGCATCTAATAGGAATGCCACCTGTTCTTTTCAGAAATGAGATGTCTGCTTGGATCACTGGACAGGAGTCAGGAAGGTAAAACACAATGCTGGATGGTGGTGGGCACGAGCTCCCCCAGCCTGTGAAATGAGCAGTTTGGGCCAAATCAGGGGTCTTGCATGCTGGTGTCTTCTGGAGCCCGGTCAGGAGGGGAGTGTGGAGCTGCTGTGGGTGAGGCTGTAAGGAGGGCTGGGGCCTGTGGGCCGCTGGAGAGAGGCCCCATCATCCCAACAGCCAGCCCACGTCCTGCTGCCCCCAGACCTCAGCTGACCATAGATGCATGCCTGAGCCCAGCTCCGGGGGGTAGCAGTGTGGCCGACACCATGATTTTTGGTTTTAAGGCTGTTTGTTATACAGCATTATTGTGGTGACTGGTCACTGATGCAGCTCTGCAAGCAGAATTCAGCCTGCAGGCCTCCTGTTTGTGACCCTTGGCCTGGGCGGCTTCCAAAACTTCTTCCAGGGCAGAATCTGACTCTAGGAGAAAAAACTTCACTGCACATTCTCTTCCCCCATCGGGCTCTACGGCCATGAAATGTAACAGCAATGTGATTTTTTGCTTTCCTCTCTGCCTTGCAATCGTGGCTCACCGGCTTGCCGGGCCACACAGAACCACATCTCTCTCTGGGGTGCAGGCATGGGAGGCGAGGGTGCCAGGAGAGGAGACGGGTGAGCCAAGCAGAACAGCCGTCCGTGAGTCAGTTCCCGAAAACCAGCAAATGGCCCAGCACCTGCTCACCCACCCCCACCTGCACCTGCCAGCCTTACCCGGGGTCTTGGCCACTGGACAGTCAGGGTGGGACCAGCCCAAACTGACCACCCCCCCAGAAAAAAGTGACAGATGTTAGTGCCCGTGGGTTCTGTCCCCCCATCAACAGATGTCAAGACATGAAAAATTGGGGTAAATGAAGGGTGGGCGATTAGGTCGGGCCCAAGCTGGGTTCTTGTGGGTGCCAGAGACAGCTGCAAATGCACGTCAGGGACAATTGCCCTGAGGCAGCGGGGGCTGCCAAGCCAGGGTGCCTGGGGACAGCTGGACGAGGTGCCGACATGGAGCTCATTCCTCCGTGAAGCCGTACCGCAGCTGCTGGGAGTATCGCCAGCCTGTGGGCCTGTGTGTGCCTCTGCTCTGGGAAGGCACTGGGGGAGCTGTGAATGGGCCCCCCAGGATGGGCCCAGGGGTTCTGGCTTGTCCGTGGGTCCGTGTGACACCAGCCCCAGGCTTGAGCTGACCGGTTGTCTCGGGGAAGCCTCCCTTTCTCCCTTCTTGTCCTTTCCCGGGCTCTTTCTCGCTCACTCTGTCCAGGCGGGGCTCAGCACCAATCCCTCTGTAACCAGCCTGACTTTTTCTCCAACAGTTTTGGCTTGAAAATGTAGGTTTAGGAGCCCCACCACCCAGGCTCCTCGAGTGGGGGAAAGGCCTCTCCAGGGAGAGACCCCCATGTACCTGGGGCTTGCAGGCACTGAGCCCACGGGGTGAGGAAGCCAGCTTGGTGCCTCCTCCCCAGCACCAGCCTCCCGGCCCTGCAGCTGCCTCAGGGTTTACAAAAAAGGTTTTGTTTTTAAGTGGAGTGACTTCTTGGAGCATAGGATGTACCCATATCTAAATATTATTCAAAAGCTGTGAGATGCTCCCTAATCTAGATGAAGAGGTAAGTTTGGTGTAAATGATGTAACCTATTCCAACAGGTAAAAACGGTGCCTTCTAGGACATTCTGGAACAACATAGGATATTTTTAAGGTTTGGGGGGCGGTTTTAGGTGAAATTCACACAGCATAACATTTAAGCATTTCGAAGTGTACAGTTGGGTGCCATTTAGCGCATTCCCGACTTTGTGCAGCCGTCACCTCTATATGGCTCTAGAATACTTTTGTCCCTCCCCGCCCCCAGCCCTAGATAACCACCAATCTGCTTTTGGTCTCTGTGGATTTGCTTATCCTGGACATGTCATATACATGGAATCAGACAACATGTGGCCTGTGTGTCTGGTTCTCCCACTCAGCATGATGTGTTTGAGGTTCGTCTATATTGTAGCAGGTGTCAATATTTCACTCCTTTTTATGGCCGAGTAATAGACCAGCGCGCTTTGATTAAATTCAGGTGGAAACAGACAAGCACCGAGCCACTGGCCAGCCTTTCCTCGGCCCAAGGCCTGCTCTGTGAGGTCCACTCTCATGTGGGTTCTAGACCCTCAGACTCACTGGTCCTCTGTAGTCAGCTCCCAGGAAGGCAGGGCCCAGAGGAAACAGAAGAACATGAGCTCCCAGCAGACCTCTCTGATGGCCTCGCCCACCCTGGGTAAACCCGGAGAGGGAGCCTGGAGCCCAGCGAGCTGGATGCTGGACAAGGGCCCTTTTCTGCTCTACACAATGCCCCATTGTGTCCTTCTCTAGGGAGAACAATACAACTCGGGCCAGGGGAAGCCGAGGACAAAGGGCCCTTTGTGAGGACTGTCCCCACCTGAAAAGCAGCACCCTGGGTCACACCTGATGGCAGAGCTGTTCTTCCTTGCCTTCTGTCCCCTGAGCACCTCCTGCATCCGGGGGATGCATGGAAGCTCGAGTGGGCTTGGGCTGAGGGGCGCCGGATTCTCCCTGCTCTCCCCAGACAGCTCTGCTAGCCCATCCCAAATGCAGCACTTGGATCCTGGAGAGGAGGTGCAGATTGTAGCTTTGCTGGAAGGACCTGGAAGCATGGACCAGAATAACTGTCCCCCTCATCCCCAAGGCTGGGAGCCTCGGGCACATGCTTTCCTGCTTCTGCTGATGCAGAAGATGTTTGTGCCGCCACCCCCCACCCCTGCCAATCTTTTACATGTCCCACTTTACAGTTGGGCTCTGAAAGGAGAGCTTTTCACCACAAAAAAATGGGGGGACACTTTAAAAACTCACACTATAAGATGCACGTGTGCTATTACCCCAACAATGCAGGCGGGGGACAGATGGAGGCTGAAGAAGGGTTCCAGAAGTTGCTGGTCTGGCCTAGATTTGGGGGAGCCTATGATCAGAGCCAGGCCCTGCCCTCATAGAGCTCACACTGCAGGTGGTAAAGATATAATTAAACAAGACTGATCATTTGGCCACACAAGTATCGATAATTTATAGGTCAAAACACTCAGGGGGCGCCTGGGTGTCTCAGTCATTAAGCGTCTGCCTTCGGCTCAGGCCCGCATCGGGCTCCCTGCTCACCGGGAAGGCTGCTTCTCCCTCGCCTACTCCCCCTGCTTGTGTTCCCTCTCTCACTGTGTCTCTTTCTGTCAAATAAATAAATAAAATCTTTAAAAAAAAAACCAAACACTCAGAACAAGATGTCAAAAGAAAACACCCAGGACAAACATTAGCAATATACACACAAGAACAGGACCTTTAATATGTAAAGAGCTGTGAAGAATAAGAAAAACCCGGGGCGCCTGGGTGGCTCAGTTGGTTAAGCGACTGCCTTAGGCTCAGGTCATGATCCTGGAGTCCCTGGATCGAGTCCCGCATCGGGCTCCCTGCTCGGCAGGGAGTCTGCTTCTCCCTCTGACCCTCCCCCCTCTCATGTGCTCTCTCTCTCATTCTCTCTCTCAAATAAATAAATAAAATCTAAAAAAAAAAAAAAAGAATAAGAAAAACCCACGCCTACCTCAGTGATGTGCTTCCAGGTACCTCACGGTTTGCCCACTAACCACTAAGGGTCTGAAGCCTACTCTGTCCTGCATACCCTGCGCTCTTCTAAGGAGTGCCTATGAGCCCACCCACTTAACACCACCTGTCCTGAGCCGTGCCTGGGCTGCTCTATCCTCAGAATGTAGAGTTGCTGGTGTTCTCACCAGGGTTCTGCTTGGGTCATTGGTTGGTAAGTTCTTCTTTGCTCTGAATCCTCAGTGCCTCACTTTCCCCAGGGGCTGGGGTGCAGTCTTGAGAGCTGGTAGGAGTGCCGCCTAAGGGGGGCTTTGCTGACCTGAGCCGAAGGATCTGGCTGAATTTCAGGACCCGGCCGCTGACTGTGCTTTCCCTTGCCAGCTGTGTAACTGTCACCCCAACATCCTCCCAGGACAGCAGAGATGAGGGCATGGGAAGGGGACACCCGTAGACACCTGGCCACACACTCAGGGCAGGTAATGGCCGCCTGGAGCCCTGGGGTGAAGCCACCACTCCAACCTTTCCTCTGCAGCAGGGCAACTCCATACACCGCAGACCCTCTGCATGCCCACACAGACGCTGACCAGACAGGCCCACCCCGTCCTGGCCAGACATGAGCTTTCCAACAGCCCTAGAGGGGCAAGGAGGGCAGCTGCCCAGGTGGGCAAGTGCACCAGGAGCTTCTGCAACATTGGCTGATGAAAGAGCGAATGAGGGACGCCTGGGTGGCTCAGTCAGTTGGGTGGCTGCCTTCGGCTGGGGTCAAAATCCCGGGGTCCCGGGATCGAGTCCGGCATCGGGCTCCCTGCTCAGTGGGGAGTCTGCTTCTCCCTCTCCCACTCCCCCTGCCTGTGTTCTCTGTCAAATAAATAAAATCTTTAAAAAAAGAAAGAACGAGCGAATGAGCGCATGGTCGGCCCCTTCCCAGGCAGAGTACACGCGGGTCCTTCCAGGTACCCCTGCCCTCACTGCTGCAGCACGCCCCGCGGCCTGCGGAGGGCGCGCGCGCGCCCGGACCTGGAGCGCGCTCCCCGCCCATGGGCGTGGCCAGCCCGGGCGGGAGCGGCCTCTCGTTCTGGGCGGGGCGCCCGAGCGCGTGGCGCTCCATGCGCATGCGCACTGGTGGCCCCGCGATGGCGGCGCCCGAGCAGTCACTGAGGAGGCGGAAGGTCGGGAATGCGGGCGCCGAGCCTGGGTCTCCACCGGGGCCTGGGCCGGGGTGCGACCCCACGGGCTATTCGGCCCATCTCCGAGCGGGCACTTTCTGGCTGACCAGGATCGTGCTCCTGAGGGCCCTCGCTTTCATTTACTGTGAGTCCGCGGGGGCCGGGGCTCCCGTCACTGTTGCCCCTTAGCACGCGCCCTCGCCCCTCAGACCGTCCCCCACCCCGGGACAGCCTCCGCCCCTCCCCCCGAGTCTCTGCCCACCCACCCCCAACCCCGTCTCTCCTTTCCCCGGGACGCTCCCCAACCCCTCCCCCGGGACGTGCCCCTCCCCTCAGGGCGCACCTCCCCCTGGGGCGTCCCTTCCCTCCAGGGCCCTCCCCTCCGACGCCCCTCCCACCCGGGACTTGCCTCTCCCCTCCAGGGCGCCCCTCACCCCGGGACCCGCCTCCCCGTGGGGCGTCCCGCTCCCCCACCCCGCGATGCTCTCCCAAGGACGTCCCTCCCCACAGAACGCTTCTCACCCCCCACCCCTCCCCTCTCCCCGGGACGTCCCCTGACTCCCCTACCCCCGGGACGTGCCCCTCCCTCCCTCCCCTCCAGGACACCCCTCCCCCCGGGACACACACCCCCCACGCTCCACCGGAGGCCCTTCTCTCTGGGACACTTCCCCCCGCCCATACGCTCCCTTGCCCCGGGGCGCCCCCCCAACGCTTCCCCCCTCCTCACGGTTGCTAGATGCCCCTCCCCCCGGGATGTTTTTCTCCCAATGCCCCTCCCACAGGCCCCCCTCCTCAGACGCATACACAATAGAGCCCCCTTCCCTGCCCCTCCTACCCCTGGGTGGGGTGGGGTCTGGAGCGATGGGGTTGGAGGGGTGAGGGTGCTCGAAGGTGACTTCACCTGCCCCCTGCTCTGACTTCTGTACTTCCCAGAGCCAGGTTCCCCAGTTGGCCTGGGCTGGGAAGGCGGCGGGTGGGGGGGGCGGTCATCTCCCAGGAGATCGACCGACCAAGGGACGCCGCTGCAGAGCCCCTGTCCACAGAGCCCTGTCCATTAGCCACCTGTGCCCCCCACTCACGAGCTGCACCTAGGCCGCGGGCAGCCCCTTGCGCAGCCAGGGAACCTGTGAGTAGAGGCGGAGCTGGGCCCCAGGCCTCACTTGGGCTCCGGAGGCTTCGGAGCAGCCCTCTTGGCACCGTGGAGACTTCAGGAACGGGTGAAGCTTGAGCCTCAGCCTTCACCTGACCAGGCCGGGAGCCACTAGGCCCTCAGCCGTGCAGAGCCCACAGCAGCCCTGGGCCACAGAGGTTGAGGCCTGCGGGCCCCGAACCCACCTCCCCGCCCCAGCCCCCGCACCCACAAGGGCACAAGAGCCAGTGGGGGAAGTCTACGGCAGTGGAGCGCAAACTCAGATTCTGAAACCAACCTGGGGACCAGGCTGAGATGAGCCGGTGGTCTCTGCTAGAGGGATCCAGAGGGTGCTGGTCCCTGGCGTTGCCGGCCTCGACCGTGCCGGGGGCACTGAACATCTCAGCTTCAGTTCTACAGCTCTTCCTCCCGCGAGGAAGCAGCAGTGTCCTTCCAGAAACCCCGAACAGTGGGGTGCACCCTAGGAGGGCGAGGCTGGCTTTGACGTCTTCTGGCGCACAGTGGAGACCAGGCTTTCTGGAGCGATTCAGTGGACCGTGGGGTGCCCAGCGTGGGCTTTCCGCAATGCTGCCCTCTCTTTTGTTACTGTAAAAATAGTTCTTGCCAGCGCTGCTCTATCCTCCACAGTTTTAAATAGTCATTCTGAATGTTTGAGCTGTCACTTAGCAAAAGATGGAGCGCAGACAGCGTTCCCCAAGGAGGGGGCTTTGGTAGACTGCTACCGGAGAACCTGCAGCGCTCACAGAGAGCGCAGCTCCCTAACACCCACCCCAGGCTTCCTGGTTAGCGGGCCTGCCTCTGATCAGGCCTGCCTCTGATCTCCCTCCGCGGGGATTCTCTGTTCCGTCCCAAGGAGACAGTTCTGAGCTGCTGAGTGAAGCGGACATCTTGAGCCCTGTGTTGAGCATGGAACCACTTGCTTTGAGACATTTTTTCCTATCTTTTCTCTATATTTGGGGTAGAATCAGTGTTTTTCAGCTGTATGAAGGAACTGGTTTCCCATCTTCCAGGGACGAGGTTCTTTGACAGCTGGCCCCGGGCAAGTGGATGCCCATCTTGCATTGGTCTCTTTCTAGAAGGTTCTGGAGTTTTCTGATAGCATGAGCTACCTCAGAGTTTCTTTCTGAAGTCCCAGGGTTTTTCATGATGCCAGAGGGGCTGTACACACGTTTCACTTGATGTTGAATTTTATAGTTGCCCTTGTGGACTCCTGACCCCACCACAAGACTGCATAATGAACCCCTGCCCTGTGCTTCATTCTCTGCACATTTAAGAGAGTTCTTACAACACCGTCTTTAGTGTGCCTGTTCATCCACCTGTGAGCTTGCAGCTGGACGGTGTTCTATTTATACTTCTATCCTCCATCTTCTAGGGGCATCTCCTGCTTCATAAAATTTCCTTGACTTGTTGCAGTCTTTATCATTACTCTTTGTCCCCATGGGATACTTTTCCACCTGTGTCCCCCTTCCCTCCCCACTCCCCACTCCCAGCTTCTTGGTGTGGACACTCAGGACACAGATGGCCCACCTGAGAAGCCCCCTGACTCTCTCTGGGTTGTATTCACAATTCTTCAGATCTCACATTGCTGTCCTTTTTTCTTTTATTCTTTTATTCTCTCTTTTTGCTGGGGTTAATCCCCAAACAACTTTTCAAGAAAGAATTTGGAGGTGACCTTTCTGTATTTTTCTTGCCCTCATGGGAATTATTGAATTACCTGGGTCTTCCATTCTCATTCAAAGCAGGTTTTCTCAGAACTTTTTGGGTTGATGATGAGAAGTCTTCACACAGCCTGACCCCTGATCTTCCCCAGATGCCTAAACAGAAACACTTTCATTTTTTTTCCTTTTCCTTTTTTTAAGATTTCATTTACTTATTTGAGAGTGAAAGCACGAGTGGGGTGAGGAGCAGGGGGAGAAGCAGACTCCCCGCTGAGCAGGGAGCCCGATGAGGGGCTAGTCCCAGAATCATGATGTAAGCCGAAGGCAGACGCTTAACTGACTGAGCCACCCAGGTGCCCCAACACTTTCATTTTTCTACTGACACACTCTGACACCAAATGTGGGGGGGGTCTCCTCACAAGCAGTTCTGACACTATCTGCCTGGCATGAGTTCATACCTGCCCGCCAGGCTGAGGGCCCGTCCCACAATACCGCCCCCTCTTCAGATGCCACTCACACATCCAGGCTGTCACCAGCTGTAAGTCAGGGTTCTCACGACCCCCTTCTCGAGCGCCATAATTTGCTAGAATGGCTCACAGAACTCAGGGAAACACCTTACTTACGGTTACTGGTTCATCATCAAGGCTATGACTCGGGAACAGCAGATAGAAGACACCCACAGGGCGGGTAGGGGGGGTGTGAGGGTGGGGAAGGAGCACGGAGCTTCCAGGCCCTGCCTCCTGCCGGGAGCACCACCCTCCCCCTCCTGGCACCTCCATGTGCCCAGAGGCTCCAGAACCCCTTCATTTTGGGTTTTTAGGGAGGCCCTGTTACACAGGCGTGGTTGATGAGATCATTTATCTTTGGTGATGGGCTTGGTCTCCAGCCTTCTAATCACATGTCAGGTCCCCTGGCTACCAACCCCTGAGCTCCAAGAGTCACCTGGTTGGTGTGAATCCAGATAAGGCTGAAAGGGGCTTGTTACGAACCACAGCAGATGCTCCTCTCAGCCCCGGCACTCAGGAAATTCCCAGGAGCTGGGACGAGGAGCACATAAATGTTTCTTCTTATGTGGCGGTATCACAGTGACCTGTGTTTTCCTCTGGAAACTTTCAGAATCCCTGCTGCCTTGCCATCTTACTCTGGGTCCTTGTTATTTAATGGTGTGTCTACGTGAGAGTCCCTTCCTCATTCTCAGGGGATTCTGGGCTCATTCATTCTTAGGACTCCTGCCCTATTTCTGGACAGCTTCTCTGACCCTGCCCAGTCTGCTGCCTCTAGGTCCCTGTATGTCCAAACACCCCAAGTGGGTACCCAAGTGGGTCCCAAATGTGCCCCATTTGGGGACCCCTGCCCCATCAAGCCTCCCAGCTTGGCTGGAGCCTGCCAGAGAAGGCACTTCATGAAGCTAAACAAGGGTCTGTTAGAGAAGATGGGCCCCTCCCAGGCCCCGTGGACCGTGCTGCTGTGACTGCCCTGGTCTGCTGAGTGTCCATGAGTGGCGATGTAGGGTCTCCAGAGGGGCTCTGAGCACTGTGGGAGCAGAGTGGTGTAGGAAAGACGCTACGGTTCAAAGCCGATGGCCAGTAAGGAATTCTTGAGACGTCTTTGGTGCAAAAAAGTTGTTTTATTAAAGCACGGGGACAGGACCCGTGGGCAGAAAGAGCCGTGCTGGGGTCATGAGGAGTGGCCCATTGTATACTTTAAAGTTGGGAGGGGGTTAGGGACAGTGTAAGTCTCCCAGGAATTTTGGAAACAAGGTTTCTAGGATCATGAGGGCACTAGCTATTACTAGGAAAAGGTCATTTATTACTGTTTAGTAAAAACTCAATCATGAGACCCTTCAGATGTATATCGGTGGGCCATATGCTTGGGGGATGCTGCCAACCTGTATCTTGGGGGGTAGAGATAAAGGAAGTTTCCAAAGGAATTCTTACATGTTAAAGTAGACTCACAGGGTCCTGGGGGTGGGGGTGGGATGAGGCTAGGATTGCCTTTTGCCCTTAGAAAAGTGTCAACATCGAGGCAGTTGAGTCCCTAGAGGAATGTCACTCTGCCTGTTTCAAGGACTTGTCAGTGGGCTGCAGGGAGTAAGGAAATTTAATAATTTCTTTTCTGCCTGTGTTTCCCACATCCCAGAGGAAGTTGACACGTAAGCAGATTGCACATCTCAGTTTCCCACTGTTAACCGTGGAGTCCTTGGAATAACATTTCTTTGAAAATCCTACTTCTAAAGGGTCTCAAGGCTAGTTTTGGTCCAACTCTGATTCTTGCTTTTGCTTTACACACGTTTTGTGCAGTTGCTCTGTTGGCTTTCCTTATTTCTGTTACACATGG